TTTTATGTGTTTGTGTGTATTGTGTGTGTGTGTTACTAGCCTTTGTTTGAAAGTGGGTAAATTTTCTGCTAGTTTTAAACATGCCGTGGTTTTTCCAATTTTGAAGAAAACAAACTCTGATATATAAGATGTTAAAAATTATAGACCAAAATCAAACTTTTTGTTCAAATCAAAGGTTGTCGTGGAGGGTCTGCTAGCCTATTTGTCTGTAAAAGGTTTGATGCCGATTCATCAATCAGCATATAGACGATTCTACTCAACTGAGACAGCAATACTTCATGTTTTATCAAATTTATTTTCAACAATGGATGTTCAAAACATTTCATTACTGTCGTTCCTGGATATGTCGTCAGCGTTTGACTGTGTCAAACATGGAATACTTTTGAAGAAGTTGTGGTACAATTACGGTTTGAATGACACTGTTTTTGCGTGGTATGAGTCATATTTGACGAATCGAACCGAGCAGGTCTTGTTCAAAAATGTTCTGTCTGATGTCAAAATGGTCAAATCAGGGATACCTCAGGGATCCGTTCTCGAAGCTATTCTGTTTATAGTATATACATCAGATGTACTGTAATTATTGATGAAGGATCATATAAAGATGATATCAGTTTAATGCATCTCTTGTCTCCGAAATTTATATAGAATTAAGCACTGGTTAGATAAATCAACCTTGGAAACTTTGGTGCATGCGTTTGTTACATCTCGGTTGGATTACTGCAACAGCTTGTTGTATAAAATACCTGATAAATCTATTGCTATACTGCAATCGGTTCAAAATAGAGCTGCAAAGTTGGATGCTGGTAAATTGAAGTTTGACCACGTTACGTCAATTTCGAGTGATCTGCAATGGTTTACGATTGATAAGAGGATGATTTTTAAAATTGGTGTGATCATGTTCAAAGCTTTTAACGAATGTCACCAGATTATATAACTAATAAATTTATCAGAAAAGGGACGGCATCTAGTTTCTGTCTTCAGTCAGATGTCAACCATGGTATACTTTTGAAAAAATATTACTCTTAGGGGTGCCAGTTGCAAGGTTACAAATTGGATCACATGATATTGCAATTGCATTGTGTGGAACAGTCTCCCTGCATCACTAAGAATACCTGGGCTTCATCTTGAATCATTTTAAAAAGATTTAAGGACATTTTATTTTCGTTGAAGTTGCATAGAATTTGATTTTTTACTTATTTTGTTTGCCACGTATACAATTAAGTTTTAATTTTTGATGGCGCCTGCGAGAACATTAAATGGGCGCTATATATATTGTCTTTAATATTAATAATAATATAGAAATTTAAGCTTTTTACATACACACACATGGGAAAACACTCAAGCGCACAGATATACACAGATCTACCTACACTTTCAAAATTAAACGTACTCATACAATTACTCATAAACCATGCAAATTAAATAGCAACATAAATAATTCAATATAAACAAACAGTTATCCATCCATCCACCAATCTCATCAGTAGGTAAATATAAATCTCATTACCCTATCTAACACAACGCTTAATGGAAAATGAAGTGCAGTAAGAATAATTTAACATTCTTACATTAATTAACATTAACATTAATTTAACAATTTAACAATCAACTAATCAAGCCCACTTACACACACACATTCAAACCTTAGACATCTCGATATATAGCCTCTAGACCCGAAACCTTTAAACGCTCATATTGCTTTGTAGGCCTATGTGCTGCACGCATAAGTTTTGTTGTGCAGTGCAATTATATAATTTCATTTTTTATTTATTTAAACGAAGCAAGAAAACTGTTTTAATAATTAACTTTTTTTTATTAATCAAAAATTCATGAAATAAAAAAATATAATATGAATTTTTTTTACTTTTCAACTTTTTTTAATTAATTGTTTTATTAAATTTATTTTTATTATTTACACTGTCACAAATATTTTTTAACAAGATTATCTATCTAGAGGCTGTTATTACATCGAGACATCTATGATTCAAACCAATAGATTCATATCTAATCATGCACAAACACACACATTCATGATCACTAACACACATGCATACCTCGTCAACACACGACCACACACATACGCGCACACTCTTACATCATAGTTACACAAAATCACTCATACATATAGACAAATTTCCTGAAAATTAAGTGTTAAGAGTAAATACTTAGGTGTAAGTGGATATGTGTGGGAGTAAGAAAATGTGTACGTGAAACAGTGCATGTGCATGCATATATATATATATATATATATATATATATATATATATATATATATATATTTATACATTTTTTTACAATATTCTATAAATTTTACCGAATGTTTGGCGTTAATATGTTTGTAGTTCGTTTTACAAATCTAGAACTACCTTCCTTTTAACTTTTAATTCTCGAGAGAGATGGAGCAGTCGCTGCTCGCGATTTTGTTCGATTGTTAGATTGCGTCGGTTGGTCGCAGAACTTCGAGTAAATGTTGGTAATAGACCATAATTATATATATATATATATATATATATATATATATATATATATATACTTCTTTATTCGTATTATGACCAGAAAAAATATGATCATATTTCAGATTATTTATCGTTGTCTAATTTGTTGTCTATTCCTAAACTGTACGTTCTCAGATTATTATTAATCTTGTTTAATGTT